CACCACCACCCCCTCCCCTGCTTCCCCTTCCCTTCCTTGCTGGCAGCAGGACGCTCCGTTTCCTCCCCACTTTGTGGGAACGGGAAGCGGCCGAATTGTTCTGGAGCTGACTGAGGTTTAATCATTGATGAGCACCAACTGCCAGGAGAGAGAGGACAAACATGACCCCCATCCCGGGACACCCAGAGGACGGTAATATTACTCTTATTCCTATTCTTCTTATTTTATTCATATTCTTATTCTTCTCATTGTAATTGTTATTAACACAGTGCGTAACTTGACGCAAACTGATCCTGTAAGTTTGAGCCGCATGTTCAGATTTATTACAGTGATGTGCAGGTAAATGTTTTTGCAGGTGTGTCAGTGATAAATTTTGTGAAGAAATGCAACAATCATTGCTTCATCAATGTGTGAAAGCCAGAATTGAAGTTTTAGAACAGCAATATAAACCTATAAATAACAAAGGCTGAGGAAACGTGCTGACATGTTTTAAACACAGTGTTCTCCAACAAGAATATCAAATAATAATAATGGTAATAAATCGTACTGAGAGGTAGCCTTCAGATTTCAGYGCAGTTTAAAGATTAACTCCTTTAAACTGGATTATATGACTAGTTTCTTTCATTCAGAAGCCATAAAAGGCAGCAGTGTGGCCTCATTGTTGTGACACTGTCGTGAAAGTCCTGCTGCAGGCTGTGGAGCYGCAGATTACGCGTGGCTTTATGTGTGTGTTGCAGGTGTCCCGAGTCAAAGAGCCTCTCCTAAACAAGGCAGGGACAGAGATGAAGCTTCAGGAACAGATGCATCCGAGAAAACATCAACAGCAAATTCACCTCTAGAAGCTGTGCCTTCTGTTTCTGATGTATCTCTGATGGGTTCACCGACTGGACTTTGTACAAAAATAAAGATTTCTTTGGACAGGAAGGAAAACATAACACCCTGTTTTGTTCTGGTTTTATTTTTGTCTTCATTATCTCACTTTCAATGTAGCTGAGTTAAAAAAAAAACAACAAACTAAAAAAAAACAACTTTTACAACAGATGATAAATTACTAAATTTTTATTCTTATTTCTGTTTTTAATATTATTCTTATTTTTATTTTTATTCTTAAAAGGTAGCCTATATTTCATATTTATTATGTTATATCACTTAGCCAGTTCCCGTCAAGTCAAAATAAATATGATTGTGCCAATTCACAACTAAACTCCAGGGCAGCAAACAAACATACAAAACGTAAAATTATYTAATTTGATTTAAAATTATTGTCCATTCAATCCAATTATGAAGCAACCCAATCACATTCAGCTCATTATGAAATGCTCATTAGAAAACAAGACAATTTATAAAATTATTATGATTGTTGTTGAGTCAGTGGGACAGTGGGACCCCTCAGATCACTTGCCCTATGTTCACATTTTGACTTGTTCAGATTTCGTTGTTGTTGTTGTTGTTGTTGTTGTTGTTGTTGTTGTTGTTATTATTCTTTGTTAGACTTTTCATAATAAAAAGGTCGACTCTGAACATTTTGAAGTCATGAGGTCGTGTTTTACTGTTTCCTGACAGCTCCTCATAAAACCTCAGACAGGTTTTTTGCTTTAGCGCTCCTCACTGTTAAAAGCATGTAACAGTTTCAGACAGTGCAGTCATTTTACCACCCATGAAGTTTTAAAAAGTCCAACTTCTTTCTGCTGCGGAGGGGCACGGCGGTGGTCTCCCACGACTTTCCAAGCTGATAATTAGCCTCCAGTTTTCTTTAGTTTTTTTCCACGGAGGATGCGCGCATTAAACTCGCTGTGTTCCTGCTCAGTAAATCAGACTTACGCKTTTGAGAGCGCGAGCAGCAGAGTAAACATGTGAGAGCTGCTGAAAAACCCCAGGAATGTGAGAAACTTCAGAGATTATCGACAATTAGAGCTGGAGGAGTCCGACTTCTACTTTATGGTTTTATGGCTTCTTTTGCTTTAGTGTGTATGCGTGTGTGCGCGTATGTGTGTGTCTGTGTGACAGAAAGAGAAATTGGAACTTTTTATGGTTTTATGACTCTTTATGACTCCTTGTAAAGTCAGTGATGGCGACGAAGTGGAAACCAGATTCTCTGCAAACAGCAGATGGACAAATGTTATCTGCTGCGCGCGAGGAATGCGCACCCGCACGTGAGCTCCGTTCAGCTTCACAAGAGACAGTAAACTTCTCTGATCATCTCCAACACACACGCTGGATCATTTCTTGGCTTATTTCCTGGGTTTGAAACAAAAACTCGTTTAGGTATTTTGAAATAACATGTGCGGGTTTTTATCTCTATGTTCTTCTTTATTTTTTTTTTTGTTGATCTTTTTAGTTTCCTAACAATAAGTAAGCTGCACTGACTTAGTTTGTATCTTTAGAATTTGTTAAAATGTCAATAAAGGCCTGTTATTGTTACTGTAATAAATATGTGAGCACAAACTCTTCATTTTAAACAATAAAAACAACAATACTACTACTACTACTACTACTACTACTACTACTACTACTACTACTACTACTACTACTA